CTTGATCTCTGTTCACTTTTCCTCTCTGCTATTATTTTGAGGTTTTCTCGTGCTAAGAGTAGCCATCCAGTCACTGTTTTCAGCTTCTTCCATGAAGAGAAGTGCCGGAGTAATCTTTCCATTCCTTCCACTGTTTCTGTCTCAACTGCTGTGTTGACACTCTCCTTAATTTCAGCACTGTCAATTTCTAACAAGTCACTAGCGATTTCAGTAGATGGCCATGAAACATCTGGTTTCCATAAAAACTCAGGGCCGCTGAACCATGATGCTGAATCTAGAAATCTACTCACTACTGGTATTCCCCTTGATGCACAGTCTGCTGGATTTAATTTCGAGGTGACATAGTGCCACTGGTTGATTGTAGTTGCTGCATGAATAATGGCAAGCCTATTTGCGACAAATGTTTGAAAGCGAGTTTTCGTGTTCTTTATATAACGAAGAACTGACATGCTATCTGTCCAGAAGTAAACTTGATCAATTTGGTAATCCAACTGTTTTGTGACTATCTTGCATAATTTCACTGCTAAGGTTGATGCCGTCAACTCAAGCCTCGGTATTGTCACTGTTTTTAATGGTGCCACCCTTGATTTCCCAAGAACAAAGGAACAGTGGATTTTTCCAGTTTCACTGACGAATCGTAGATATATCACAACTCCAATTCCGACTTCACTTGCATCGGCAAAACAGTGCAACTCCTGACATGTCGTCTTCCCAAAGTCCTGTGGTTTGTAGCATCTTTCAAGTGTCACATTTTCAAGTTCCTTTGCTTGTGTCAGCCAATTTTTCCAGTCCTTTAGTTGACTTCCTGTAATCTCTTCATCCCATCCAACTGAATTTTTGCACATTTTTTGAAGAAGTGTCTTTGCTGTCATCACGAAAGGTGATACGATACCAAGAGGATCAAATATTGAACTCACTATAGATAGAATTCCTCTTCTGGTCATTGGCTGATTTTTAATGTTTATCAGGAATCCTAAACGATCACTGTTAACAAGCCAGTACACACCTAGTGCACGTTCCACGAGTGTTTCACTTTCACCTTCAAGGTTCCATTTCTGCACATCTTTGGCTCGATCTTCTTCTGGAACAGATTCTAACACTTGTTTGGAATTACTTATCCATTTTGTCAGATGGAAGCCACCTTTACTACAAAGTGTAGACAGATCTTCAATGAGTAACGCTGCTTTCTTCTCTGTATCAACCGAAGACAAACAGTCATCTACATACATGTTCCTGAGTACTGTGGTCACAACTGTAGAGTCAAAGTCAGAACCATATTCTTTAGCTGTCTGCTGTAGTGCATAGTTACAGCAAGTAGGAGAGGAAGTGGCTCCAAAGATGTGAACTTTCATTCTGTATTGTTCAGGGCTGGCATCCAGATTGCCGTCCTTCCACCATAGAAATCTTAGACAGTCTCGATCTTGTTCAGGGATAGATACTTGGTGAAACATTGCTTCAATATCTCCTTGAATAGCAACTTTCTCCTGACGAAATCTTAAAAGTACACCAAGTAAACTATTTGTAAGGTCGGGTCCTTGGAGTAACTGGCTGTTTAGTGAAATCCCCATATAAACTGCAGAGCAGTCGAACACAACTCTGATTTTCCCTGGTTTTTTATCATTATAAACTCCATGGTGTGGGAGGTACCATACTCTGCCGTCCTCTCTTTGTAACTGACTCTGGGGAACAGGTTCCGCATATCCCTTCTCAAACAGTTTGTTCATAAAAGTCACATAGTCATTTCTAACCTTTGGATCCCTTATCAGTTTTTTCTTCAGACTCTCAAGTCTCTGAAATCCCTGCATGATATTGTTGGGTAACTGAATCAAAGGATCCTTAAACGGAAGTCCAATCGAGTAATGACCATCTCGAATGTGAATCGATTCTGAAACTTGAGTTAAGAAGCTCTTACCTTCTAAAGAGTTTTCTTTCACATCATCTTCAAGACGTTCTGGAAAGTCATAGTTTATGGAATCTTTCACCATTTTTTCTAAGTTTCTGTCTCTTTCCTGAGCATCTTCTATAGCCACTCTGTTTACGTCAAATGTATCTGATGCATTTTCCCTTATGACATTCCATACGATCCATCCTAGTCTAGTCCTTGTTGCATGAGGAGAACCGCTTGGCCCAGCAATTACCTCGAATGGAGAGTAAGCATCAGGTACATTATTCCCAATCATAATTCCAATTTCTGCATCAATTTCAGATGTTTGAATCGTTGACAGATGTGGCCACCGTTTTAATTCTTGCTGTGTTGGAATGTGTTCCTTTGATACGGGCATGCATTCTTTCGTGTACACATTTGGTAGAGTTATAATATGCTCCATCGAAAGTCCACATACTTGCAACCCACTGACGACGTACGTGTTTAGTTTCTGGGAATCCCCCATTGTTTTTATGGTGATTTGTTTCTTCTTCCCACTTGCTCCAAGTCTATGCATTATGTTTTCTGTACAAAATGACACACTGCTGCCAGAGTCAAAGAATGCATAAGTTTCTATGCTATATGGTTTATTTTTCAGTTTTACTCTCACTGGAATAATCGCCATAGCACAGGTTGTTTCTCCGGCCCCTTTATCACTAAAGGCACTGATCTGAGGTTTAGAGATCTTGCATGTAGTTTTGACATCCGTTGACACAGGATTAATGTTTTCTTCATCTGTGGGTTTTGCTACACATTTCGTAGGGTCATGTAGGATCGTAGGGTGACGTCTGCTGCATATGGAACACTGAAGTCTAGCTTTACATTTTTTAGTAACATGGCCTTTCCTAAGACATCCATAACACTGTCCATTATTTCGCAGGAAGTTGTATCTATCTTGAAGTCCTTTGGTTACAAACTTCTTGCAGTCATTCAGTGCATGGGTACTACTTTCACAGAATTCACATTTCTGTTCTCGTACTTTAAAGTCTTGTACATGTACTTCACTTGTGACATCAGTAGACGCGACAGCTCTCTTCTGGTTACGATCCTGATTCTTGGAATTTCCACCAATAGATGCGTTACCATATGTGGGATCGTTCGATTTCTTAGCTTCTGTTTTCACAAAACTAACAAAGTCTTTAAACTTCACTGTTTTCTTGGTTTCCTTAGTTTTCAGCACAACATTTCTCCACCTATCATGCATATACACAGGAAGTTTTGTCATAAGTCTCTTTATATTATCTGAATAGTCTAATACAGAAACACTATCGATGCTTTCAGCTGCATTCTGACACTCCACCAGGAACAAGGAGAACTCATCTAGCATCTTTGCATCCTTCACTGCTGGCCAGTCTAACGCCTTCTTTATGAATGCTGTTGCGATTACTTCATTGTCTCCGTACCGCTCTTCAAGTTGATTCATAGCTGCTGTGTAGCCTCTGTCTCCCGACATATGACTAAATCCAGACACTACTCTGTGTGCTTCTCCGAAAGTCAATTGTTCCAGATAATTCATTCTTTCATCATTGTCTTTAGTATTCGTTACAACTTTAGTATTGAATTGTCTGATGAAACGTCTGTACTCTAATGGATTTCCTCCAAATTTCCTTATTTCTGCTACCGGTTTTCGGAGATATTGTACGACACACTGTATAGTGTCTGATTCAGATATCTGTGGTTTTGTTTTGATATCAAGGCAATGAAGGTCAAGTGGAGGAATTTCTTCACGCTTGGGTGTGAATGTCTCTGCATTCGGATTCAAAGGCCTCTCAAACAAGGACGGTACTGACGCAAAGTCACTATGAAACAAAGGCGTTTTTGGCGTTGGTTTTGGCGCTAATGTTCTAGGATTAACAATATGAATATAAGAATCAACATCACACAAATCAGCATCCTCATATCTTTCATATTTCTGAAGAACTTCTGTTTTAGCATTCGCAATAGCGATATTTGTATTCAAATCCAACTCTTCTTCTTCAAGTTTTAGTTTCACCTTTGCTAACTCTAGTTCCTTCTTATGTGAAAGTGCCGCTTTGCGAGCTTTCAACTCAGCTACTCTTTGTTCCTCTTTAAGGCGTTTGGACGAAATACTGGAAGCTATAGATGTGTGAGACTTGGACTTTTGTGATTCCTCCTTAATACTCTGGTGACCGTAGGAAAAGAACTCTTCTATTTCTTTCTTGAAGTTCATGAGGAACACATCATAGTCATATTGAGCCTTAAGCAATTCTTCTTTCTCATTCTCGTCAATAAATTGAGGTACAAGTTCATCAAATATCACAAGAAAATGTTCATAATCTTCAAGCCAAGAAGCATACTTTTTTCTTACTGTTTCTGGAGATTCTTTATCAGAAATAAGCTGTCTAATCGCACCAATTGTTAACCTCAGTGTTCTGAAAATGTTGTTGTACTGTTCATGTTTATATTCTCTTCCTTTTTCAGTCAATTTTCTGTTTCGTGTTCCCGGTTCTGTTTCTTCTGTAGCAGGCATTATGCTCATAACCTGGACCGTTCAGCGACGGAATCACGTCAATGTTGTGTTCTCTATTCTCTAGTACCAAAGACAGTACAGGTTCAATTCAATGTCCTTTATTTATATTCACATAGAAATCCTTCGATGTGTCTGACATAGATTGACTACAAAATAAATTTAAACATAATGAATAATAATACTCAATACTAAATGTACACATAATATAACCTTTTATCCATAGAAATCATGACATGAAAAGCGCTCCTTACATTTAACTTTGTAAACATTGATATTATTAGAAACTCCTACTTCAATTAAACGAAACGAGTAAATATAAACAGCCGGCAGCATGTAATAAACAATCAATAGATAATTACCGTGATGTATGTCTGGTACTTTCAATAACTTTCAGTTAAAACATGTAGAACACAACTTTACACTGAATATGGCGCTCGTGCATTTTTGGTAAACATCATAGTAAAGTATCATTCGGATAAATTTGGAAAATAGAGAAATCGAAAGTTACGGACTAAATTGGAATTCGAAATAAAATAAAATATACAGGTTGTCCATTACATATATTGTTATAATATTGTATTACAGGAGACAGCATGAGAAGCCACGATCTGTCTGGAATGTCATTTTCCACTTGGGACGGGGATAACGACGGGTGGAGTGATATTAAGTGCTGCTTACAGTTACACTAGAGGAGGCTGGTGGTTTAACCACTGTCACCACGCCCACCTTAACGGCCCCTGGTCCTCCTCAGACTGGGCTGCCCCATGGTCTCCCACAGTACAGAGTGGGACATCTATAAAGGGGACCACCATGATGGTCAGACGTAACTAGGTAAACATCATTATATCATAATAACGCGGTTTTTTTTTTCTTTTTGTATTTCCATGATTATGGTTATTTGAGGTGTTTTTTTGGTTTTCTTTTTTTAATGACAAATATGCTTTTAACTCTATGAAGCATTAGTTTGATTCTTATTTTTTTCCTAATTTTTAACAGATGACAGACCATCCATCAAAAAAGTCATTTATGATAAAGGAGATGGTTTTGAATTAATCATCATCACGGGGTCCTTTTTAAAAAATAATGTTTGACATGAAGTGAGAACACTTGCGAACAAGAAATGGTTTCACTAAAGGCGGTTTACTATTTTCCAAACAAATAATTATTGTAATTTTTTCTATCAAATAAATGTAGTAAAAGATGTAAATTATATCTGTTGTAATAAATTTGAAATTAGAAATAATTCGTTTTAATTACAAACACTGATGAATGAAGATGTCTGGACGGATAATTAGGATGTAGATTGCTTTATTGTTAACCCCCATCCCCGCAGTTACGCATTTTAACGCATGTAGCGTTGCCCCACAATCACGCATTTTAACGCATATACCTTTACCACGCAAACACACACTTTAACGCACTTTTCGTTTTTGGCGTTTTCTGCTCTGATAACGCGTAAAGTTTTGATGGCATGATAATGAATGATTATATAATAAATTTTGTAATTCCATTCTAATATCTTTTGCAAATAATAATATTTTTCCTCAATTTAATACTATGTCTGAGTCGTTCGATTTATTTGACGAAACTTTGGATGTGAGACAAATTAAGCTCTTTCGTTTTACACTAAAGAAGCTCACCACTTGATCCACTGGTTTTGTGATAAATTCGAAAATTTTTAATGTAAATGTTTGATAAAATCCTGTCCAGAAATTGACAGAAGCAACGTTTGAAATTACAAAATAATATTTAAGTTAATACATACTCATACAACTGATGAGAAAAGAGGTTTTGTTCATAAAATAAAGTTTTGTTCCAGCTTACAGGAAATCTTATGCTACATGTAATCGCATGTAATCTTAATTCTTGTTCTATTTAAATTCAAATTCATTAAAACACCACCAGTCTTTTTCCGCCTTACACAGCAATAAAAAAAATGCACATACACAAATAGAAAGAAACAGAATAAAGGAACGACAATATCATGTTGAAAAGAGGTTGATTTAAAATTTTAAATTTGAATGATTTTATTATCAATTCAACATGGTCAACGTTTCCGATATTGTACAGTTACATGTAAAAGTGTTGCACTTACTTAATCGTGTGTGCTGATTTTTAAAATTAGAAGTATACATGTATACATTAAACAGGGTATTTGGGACAATTTTATACAGGTATACTGCATACTTGTTTGATATTTGAAAAAAAGGTAGAACAAACAAGAAGTCTGTGAGCCAATGCTCACATATGATGTCCCGCTCTAATGTGAATATACAATATTATGTTTACACACGTTCGGTTACAGGCAGACGCACGGAAAAAAATATGAAGTTGGCATCAGATTCATATCCAAAAATAAATCCCACTATATGGCATGTCTCAACAAAGATTGTGCTAAAATTTGAAGAAAGTGCAATGAGTAGTTGATTAGAGAAATGCGATAAAAATTTTTAACATGTATGTACGGTCCGAACAGACGCACGGTTAAACATGAAGTTGGCATCGGATTTGAACAAAAATGAATACCATCACATGGCATTCCACGGTAATGAATTTGCTAAAATTTTAAGAATCTGTAATGAGTACCGCGTAGTTGCTGAGAAAACTGCGACCAAAAACGTTGTTACGGACAGACACACAGCTAGACAGACAGAAAAACACCCAAGTGTAAAACAGTATACCCCCTCTCCTTTGCAGTGGGGTATGATTAAAAGATATATGTCCACTGATTAGTTATATCAGTGGGTATATAGTCCCTAAGGAATATTCCTTGATATGCCTCGAGTACGTTTACTAGTATATTGTCAGTACAATATTATTTATAAATGTTCACTTATCGGCCGCTTTCACATGTTTAAGAAAACATATATACTCTGTAGGTTCATGTATGTCAACACTGCATACACTAGATATAAAAGGTTTTGAAAAGTCTTGATTGGCGAAGTAAACTTTCAAGAAGAGGACGACGATGTTGTCTGATGGGATTCTTCCACCAGCTACATTTTTATATTATACACAGAAAATACTGATGACATCCACCTTGTGAATGGACAGTTAACTTGTAGCTGTATTCAAAGGGTAGTGCAGGTGGTAAATATCATGTAGATAGGAGCAATGCATTTGGGCGCTTAAAACTCCATTCTTAATTCTTTCAGGAGGGGGGGGGGTACACATCTTTGACCAACAGCGATCTTAATTATTCGCTGGGTTTCATCTCCGGAATTATATTATTATACTTAGAATTTCCGACATTTTTTCTTCTATCAACAGCTAGCTTGTTAAATAGAAGGACTGATTAGAAATTATACTTGCATTTCATTTCATCACAGGAATGCTCAGCATTTCCGACATTTTTTGCATTTTGGGGGGGGGGAGGGGATGGGTGATATGCATCTTATGTCTACCAAATTTATGAATAATCGATCAATCAAAAAAAAGAAAAAAGAAAATCAACTACACTTGAACTATATTATGTCAGTGATGTCCGAGACATGCTCTCAAATTTATAACATCAATGGGTTTTTTTAAAGCAAAGCTTTTGATGACAAAGCTTTTGATGTCAATGATTTATTGTTCAAAGATAATGATTTCAATTTTCAATTAAGAAAGTCTTCACTCCCAGTTTTATTACCTGAAATGTCGGAATATAAAACTATAAATTGTCTGTAAACTATGTAATGTCGGAAATAAAAAGTAGAATACATATAACTTTATTAACTAAAAAAGAATGCAGTTAACTATTTAGATAGTCTTCTTATTCTCTTGTCTGATTTACATGAGCATCTTTTTTCGCTCGGAATTGTATATCTTTTACAAATGCAATCAATTGATTTTTTTCTGCCGTTAACTTGTTTATTTTAATAGTATACTAATATGATGATCATTGGATAACCGAGCAATTACAAATATATATATATATTAAAAAATCTGTATATCAACTACACACCAAATTCTGATAGATCCTGAGTACCAGGAAATTGATTAATTTTTATTGTTAACCATGTTTCTTAATTTGACTTTATTTTCTGCAAGTTTCATTAAATTTGATATAGATACGATATTTTCTTTATAGAAATGGACAAATTTTCGTGTACATGGCGCGGGTATGTAAAGGAAGCATATGTCATTTCTCGTGAATTTTAGACTTTTTAAAGAAAATTAAGTTTGATAAATTACCAAAACCGCTGATAAACGTAAACTGTTATTAACTACTGCATACAGAAAAAGGAGTGTCTACTTACTACAAAGACGTGCACCACCGCCAAGTCATCACGTGACTTCTATTAATAGCGAAATTTTCCTTAATAAAAAAGCTAACAGAACAACAATACCCCGGAGTTTGATTATGTCTTTGATTAAATTATATAGTTGAAAAACATTTATTTTTTCCTAAAAAATTCTAGAATTAAATTACATCTTTAAGTTCAAGCTCTAGTAAATGACTTTAGAATAACTTTTCAGTGCTAAATCCATTATGACGTTATAATCACTTTCAACTTTCTGTTTCCCGTACTTTACGGCTCTAATAGTATTATGTAGAAAATAAAATATTTTCATGGAATTCAATTTGAAATCACATGAAAAGTAGTCCCGATACCTATCTTAAATTTAATATTATTTTAAAGTAGAGTCTATGAACATACAAATAACCGTTTTCTGAAAAACTGTAGGCAATCTGGATACATTTTCCTTGTTTGATATGGAAAAAACTCCCATTTTCAATTCTGGTTTTCTTAATTTTTCATTGAAAATGACAGTTTAAAATATGGTTTTTCATCTTGTTTTTCTACACATTATGCCCCAAAACACCTTTTTGACCAAGCTAATGTTATAAAGCATCGTTAAAGGAATTAATTTCTTAAATTTGAAAAATCTGTAGGCACCTTCCATTTACTAGATCTTGACCTTAAATACCAATATTAAGAAAACTTGTGTTCTAAAATTGACGTCATCTTACCTACTATGACGTCATAATGTAGCACTGATTTAGTCAAGGTAGAGTATTTTGTATGCTTCCTTATTACCCCTGCGTGAACTTATCACTTGAGAAATGCGGTGAGGGTGGTTGCATGAGTGTGATGAAACTAGATTTCGTCAGGTCATTTTTGGTCATAGGGAAAGGGACAGCCAATCCTACGTAACAGGCCAAAGGTCAACCATTGGAATAAATTATCAACAAAATGATAACAATTAAAGATTTTGCAAGAAGTTTAATATGAATTTTAAACTGTATTTCAAAAGTCAAAAGGATAAAGAGGCACAGAAATGTAAGTAAAAATTCAAGTCGCAAATTGATGTTTGTAGTTGAAAACTTTGATAAATAACAAATATGGTTTGAGCGGAGCTCTTACACATGAGTAGTATAAATGCGACAGGGAAAGATTTCTCGTCAGATATTTCGACGAGTTGTGTCTTCTCTCTTGTATTTATACAGGTAAGAGATTTTTACAAGCATTCGCATAATTTTAATAAAAGCTAAGTTTCAGATTGTTAAGTTTCAGTTGGCTCATTTTCTTTACACGAAAAGATATTTTATAATGTTTGATATTTCTTATACTATTTATTATGTTGAATGAAGTTGTTTAAGATATAAAATGGATTGTAAAAATAAAAAGAAATTCCGAGAGTTGTTTCTTCTCTGTTATATTTATACAGGCAAACCAGTTTCCAAGAGGATTGAAATAAAAGC